ATTATGGAAAAAAAAATGTGGAGAAAGCTGCAGATAAGAAAGAAAAGTTGAATGAAAACGAAGTTATGAGTGCTGTATGGTGTGCTTGTTTGCCTGTGTAATGGTAGCCAGAAGAGTTATCTTCATCTTTGCAGCTAGAGAGTTGGTCAAGAAGGGTGCATTCCTGGTACCTGCTAGTTTGACAATGCTGGAGCTGCTGGGAATGGGAGCCCATGGGAGTAGAAGATGCACAAGGACTCTGAGAAGTTGTATGCATGTGTTTGTGTAGGAAAGGGGAGAAAGCAGAAAGGAGTGTGATGGGGACAGCAAACTCTGGTGAAAGGTGACATGTCAGACATCAACTGTCCCTGTATGGTTCTGTCTACTACCTATGAAAATAAACTTATACTCAGTCTCAAGACTCAACACAGGATTTAAGCAACACAGGATTTTAACTGCATTTCTAACTTCTTAGAATTGTTTTCTAAATGACAGAAACAGATTTTTGAAAGCACGAACCTGATTTAATGAACCTTGGGAACAAATGCAAGCACAGTTAGTGAACTTGCAAGATCTAAAATTCAGATCACAAATTTCAAGAACCCAAAGAAAGCTACAAGGATACTTTCATTGACCTGATACAAAGGAATTAAAACAACCATGAGAATGAGTTATATCTGGAAGTCTCTAAAGGCCAGGGGAGGTGTGAGCTGAAGAGATGGAGAGTAGAGTAATGGTGAATTCCCCTAACAAAAGCATTTTCTGTTCTACCTCTTTGGGGAGTGTTAAATAGACTTTTTCCACACTCAGCTAACAAACACAGAAGAATATTGTCTAGCACCAGGGGAAAGCAGGTTTAGAGATGCTGGAATTCAGCTGCCACTCCACTTGTGCCAGGTTAAGAAAAAAAAGGGCAGATTCTTCTTCTTCTCTTCTGCACTCACATTAGGAGTCAGGCATGACAGGATAAAGAGAGGTGGGGACAGTATTTGGAAGAGGAGGGGACACCATCTGAAATCACAGGAACCCAGAGCAGATATCTGCTGAGGGCTGTAAACCAAAGCCTAACCATCAAAGCAATTGAGATTATATGATACCCTGGGTGAAGAGGCAAAGCTCCTGCAATGCCAGGCAAGTGAAAATAAGACACCATTTTCAAACGACACGTTGCATTTTTCTGAGTCTCCATCCATCTGCTTGAGGATGCCACCTGGTTAAAGACAGTCTGTGCAGCACAGTCAGCTGAGGTAGTGTATACTGGATCCCAATGAATTAAACATTTGAGAAAAAAATTCCCCAAATTCTCATTTGTCCTGAGAAGAACACACAGATGACAAGCACTCTGTGATGTGTCATCAGGACTCAGAGGGATGTTAAAAATATCAATGACTTTAAAACCCAAACGTTTTATAAATATTCATTAAATAAATGTCTTCAGATGAGTTAGCTGGTACATGAGAGAGTGTGACTGAATCAGATCATTAAAAACAAATATGCACAGACACAACCACATTCAGCACATTGGGATTTGTGCATTTTTTCCCACTCATCGTCAAGACCATGAGAGCACCAACAGGTTCCAGTTGCTCTGATCAGCCTGTGACCATTCTGCTCTGCCACTCCTCCTGCAACCCTTCCTCAAGCTGAGGGGCTCAGCTGCCTGCTGCCAACCCTGACCTTGCCTTGGCAGTCTGATGGCTGGGCTGAGTGGTGATCCTGCTCCATGGACATGGACCTATTGGGTGATGACTGGACTGCTGACTAGCCCTGGACTGGGACTGGTCAGTCTGGTTCATCTTGTGTGGGTACTTCTTGTGGGCTCTCTGCATCTACAGATAAGTGATCTCTGTATAAATCTCTGAGAGTGTGTTGACCTTCTTTTTGTTTTTTTTCTTGTCTTTGCTTTTGTTTCCCCCTCAAGTTTATTTGGAAGGTTAGGACTCAGAAACCTGAAACACACACAGAATGCTTTTAAGGATGATGTTCTCCCTCTCTCTCCTGTTGCCAAGGTCACCTTTCCTTTGGCTGATTTGCAGTTTTAAAATCTGAGAATTTCCTCCTTACATGCAGTTTGTCCTTTTTTCACGGCTGAATGCCAGGTGGCTTAGTATTCCCTCTACTTTAACTATCTTTGTCAGCCTTTTTTGACATTTTAGCAAGAGAAGTGGTCTTGCTATGGTATCTGAGTATCTTGCCAACAGGGGAATTTTTCAGTACTTGTGAATTATTTGGTATTACCTGACAGTGAAGGCTTACTTAGGATGTAAGATAAAGGTTCATGACCACAGCACCAGCACAGTGATTTTGCTGTTTATTCCATGTAATCACCATATGCAGTAGGTACTTATTTTGTTGTGTTTGTATCCTAGAATGAAATTTTAAAAAAATCCTCAGGAAAGAAACTGTATACCTCGTACAGACAGCAGTGAAGACTTCTCCTCATTGGCAGATTATTGTAAAAAATGTTAGTCTTGCAAGCATGAAGCACACCACTGTGGGAATGCTTTAAGCCATTGCTGGTTCAACACAAGACATGACAATCTTTCTCATCTTGCTTATTTCAGAAATACACTCTGTACCAGACGGCTTGCTACTTACGTACCACTGAAATTGTCATAGATTGGCAGAAAGGTTATTTAGATGTCTGAAAAAGGTTTGGAAAGACTGAAAAACTGTCAAATAGCAGAACTCTGATGAGCACTAAATCTAGTAATTCTGCAGTGAAAACGACTACTAAGAAAGGACTTGAAGCAAATGCTGGAAGAGCAGCAGCGTGTTGCCATGTGGCCAGCGTGACCTCTTTATTATAGCCAGAACATGGCTGAAGAGAGGCTGAAATAGAGATCCACAAACTAGATACAGGAAGGTAGCACTGCAGCAGCTCTCACATTATGTAGATGAACATCTAATTTAGTGAGAAATAATACTGTCATAAACGAGCAGAAAGGTGTAAGTCAGAAGCCAAAAAAGAAGTTAGGGTTTTGAATCCATCTCCTGTTACTGCAGGACTGCTCCCTGCAGTACATTTTCTCAGGCTTTGCCCAGTCTGCTTTTAAATGCCCTCTCTAATAGCAGTTTTCATAATTTCCCTTGGGAGGAAGAGATGATGTTTAGTGCCTCTCTTTGTCAGAAAGCTGCTTTTGGTATCCTGCCTGCTTCCCTTTTCCTAACTCCATCTCATTAGTCCAAATGAGCCCCTGTGCAGCACTCTGAACAATGCTGCTCTTCCTTTCTGTCCTGAGTCTGCAAAGGGGTGGTTGTGAAGGAACAAGATTTGGGATGGGAGAGGTTTCAGGAGTGGAGAAAAACACACAGCAATTGACAGGACTTTATTATATGGACCTTACAGGGGCTGTGTTTTGGGTTTGTGCTGGAAATAGTGTTGGTAATACAGGGGTGTTTGCTTTATTGCTGAGCAGTGCTTGCACAGACTCAAGACCTTTTCTGCTCCTAACCCCCACCCCATCAGCGAGGAGGCGGGGGGGGGGGGTGGGGTGGGAAGGGGGGAACAAGGATTTGGGAGGGGACACAGCCAGAACATCTGACCCCAACTCGCCGCAGGGATGTCCTAGACCGTATGGAATCATGCTTGGCATATAAAGCTGGGGGGAAAAGGAGGAAGCAGGGGGATATTCCTAGTGATGGTGTTTGTCTTCTCAAGTCACTGTTGCTTGTGAGGGAGCCCGGCTGTCCTTGAGATGGCTGAACACCTGCCTGACCATAGGAAGCAGTGAATGAACTCCTTGTTTTGCTTTGCTTTTGTGCACAGCTTTTGCTTTGCCTATTAAACTGTCCTTATCTCAAAGCATGAGTTTTCTCACTCTTCCAAATCTCTTCCCCATCCCACCATAGAAGGTGAGTGAGTGGCTGCATGGAGCTGAGATGCCACTGGGGTTAAACCACATACGCAGACACTTTAATGGTATTTTGTACGTGACTGTTATCTGCCAACACCTGATTTAATTTATGGGAAATTTGCATTCCTGAGAAACTTAAAGACTACAAGACTTTGTGTCCATAACAGAACTTTTACATATGTGCTGTTTGCAACATTTTGTTCTGGTAAACCACCAGCTCAAAATATTCACTAAAGCTTTAATGACTCTTCATTATAAAAATTGCTATCCAATCCTGAGAATACATTGCCGATGTTAGTCGGTGGTCCATGACCCAACAGCAGGAGTTTCAAAGATTTATAATTTTTTATCATTAATATTATTCACAGTGTTTCCAAAATAATAGCTTAGTTTTGTTTACATTTTGAAAAAAAAATATATATGGGATTTTTCAAAAATTTACCACCAGTTAAGCAGAAGGTCACTTCTAGCAGGTTCCCTCAGCAGCTGTGAGAATTACCAAACTGTAATCACAGAGATGACTGCAGAGTCACGTATACAGTTTAGATATTGTGTGAATTTTATGAGAATTTATCCAGTTCATGTAATGTATTCTATTTAAATATCTTTATATATATGTATATATTGGTGCTATTATAAGAAACAGCAAGATTTCTGAAGAAATAAAATTACATGACTGGATTTTAATTACAGTCAGTTGGCAGAGTCACTAGCAAGGGCATTTACCAACTGAAAAAATAAAGAGTGCCTTTGAAATATTAAGAGAAATATTAAACCTGTGGCTGAATGGTTAACTAGTGTTTAAAGAATCTAATTTCACTAACCTACCATTTTATCTTTCTCTTTAATTTATGGTGAAAATGCATTCAATGCAAATAAACTTAGATGAGGAATGAGAATCATATTGTAATTTCAAGTATATAACCAACAGCCATATCAACTTAGTATTTATTCCTTAGTTTGTGAAATTACTACTAGAGTAGAGAAGAAGTTATAAAAAATCTAGATAAAGTCAATGTTTTTGAAGTCTGCACTTTACAGATTTTAATATGAACATTGGTACACATTGAAATCAATTTGCATTCAAATGAAAGAAAAATTGGAATAAATATTTTTAAATAATATGATTTCCAGAAAAAGCTCTACCATTTGTTCAATTCTTACCTGCAGAGGTTTTCACAATTTCTGAAGTATTTCTGAGACCCATAAAGTCAAATTGATAGAGTCTCCAAGATTTCTGGTCAGCAGCCTCCACTGAATTTTTCCTCCATCTGTAAATCATTTCCTCTTTAGGGTAGCCATCTAGAAATTAATATGTATGTACATGAATATATTGCATTTCATAAAAGAAGGTATTGCAAAACAGTATCAGTTCACTGTTTCACTGCTATTTGGGAACACTTAAATTTCTGATCTAATGCTTTATCAGTGAATTAAGTGGTATAATTCAGCTCGAGTTGTGCAGCACACAAAAACAGTCATAATACTGGCAAGCCTGTGATTTTTCACAATCCCTGTTTTTTTGATAATGGAAAAAACGGTTGGTTCCATCAGAAGCAGATCTCTTTAGAGGTGCATTTGATCATACTAATTTGAGGTCCAGACACAGAAGTATACTGCTTTACATAGGCTCTGAAGAAGCTGTGCAAACCAATAGATTGCAAAAAAAGGGGAGTCTCAGTGTAAGATATGAACAATTGAAAAGGACTCATTGTTTTGAAAGTTGCAATAGTTCTAATGTGGAGTGTGCTACTGTACTTCTGAAAGTAACTTCATACAATGCATAAAAAGCAAAATTTTAATTAACGTGGGAATTGTAAAGCGATTATGCCACCATATTACTTCTAAAGTCTTTGTATTTAATGAGTCATCGCCTGATTTCTACTGCTGAAATAGCTTCTGAAAGTCCTTATCAGCTTAGCATTCAGTGGTCATAATTAATCTTCATGCCAATATTTAATTTCTTTTTTGTTAGAGAATGGCATTTTCCAATAGGAGTACAACAACAAATCTTCAACCAGTCCAAAACATAATAATAAACCATCTAGAAAACAGCATGCCTATTCTAGCTAAAACTAGATTGTTCTCTAATGCATAACACAATCAATTTTTATTCATCTAATTAATAGAGTAGATGTAGATTATAAGGTAAATTAAAAGCCTAACAACAACAATAGATGGTTAATATAACTGTCTCATCAGTAATATTTTTTTTCCCATTGGATACTGATAAATTTTTATATTTGCATTGCAAAAAAAACATCTCTGGTCATGGTGCTATTTCCTTGATGAGTGTCTTAGTCTTGTTTAAGGTTCCACCCTGCTGGGGTACTGCTGTAAGGTGTGCATGGCCTTATTTATCCTTCTCACTAACATGGCAAGAAGAATACCCACAAGTCCCTTAGCTCTAATCTGTAGAAAATGACTTTGTGTTAATTCAAAATGTCACATTTGTATATTTTCCATCAATGTAAATAAAGAAATAACTCATGAAGGACCTAACTGAGTAAGAAACACTGTTCTCCTTGAAAACTCGTGCTGCCAAGCAGATTTCACAGCCAATTCTGCTGTGACAGTCTGTGAGATTGACCTAAAGGTTAATTTTTTTTTGGCTGGCAGATTATGTTAGAGGACACAGTGATGCAGTAAAAGAAGTCAAGCTTTGCAGGGCCTCTGAGCCTTAGCCCTGCATCATCTGAAATCTTGAGTCTGGCTCCTATTTGACTGAGCCTTCTGATCACAGTTTTTCTTCCGAATAATAAGCAATAAGACAAGAGGAAATGGCCTCAAGTTACACCGGGGATGGCGGGGGTTAGATTGAACACTAGGAAACATTTATTCATGGAAAGGGTTTTCAAGCACTGAAATAGGCTGCCTAGGGAAAAGTTTGAGACACCATCCCTGGAGGTATTTAAAAGATGTAAAAGTATGTAGATGTGTCACTTAGGGACATGGCTTAGGAGCAGGCATGGCAGAGCATTTTTTATTTGGTTGGACTTGATGTTCTTAGAGGTCTTTTCCAACTTAAATGATCCTATGATTCTATTTCTGACTGAATAATGTCTCCCTCTAATGGAAAGCTCTACATTTTTCATCAGGAGCCTTCTCAAATTTGCTTCATCCATGGGGCCACTGATATCTTTCCCCTGCAGTTCAGAAGGGAAAAAGAAGCATCAGATGGCCTCCTTGGTGTGCTGTGTTGCCCTGCGCTCATGCCGAGCGATGGTGCCCGAACCGCCCTTTCCCCACAAGGCAGTACCAGTACCACACAGGGGGCTGCCATGCCATTTGAGTCTTAATCCTACCTCCCGATTTGCCTCCTGATGTGAAGAGAAGGAAACTCTTGTCCTGTTGCACCAGCTCCTGCTGCAGAACTTGGGGCCCCAAGTGTTAATTTGCAGGTTTTATCACAGGCAGTAAATCGAGTTCCTTTTCTCAGATAAACTTCACCATAATCATTGCCAGTAAAAATGTTTCAAATATCTTGGAAGTAACAAAGATTTTATCTTTTTAATAAATTTATTTTAAATTGATGTAAAATGAACTTTTTACATTTTTTTCCCCAAATTTCACTGAAAAAGTTGTACCAGTTAACCTTGAATTCAATTTCTTCCTGATTTTTTTTGCTTTCTTTTCATCCCATAGCCACCCCACCAAAAGAAATCCATTACAATGTCAGTATGCTTGAAAGCTTGCTATCAATGTGAGTTGTTTTAACCTGTTAAATAACTGCTATTTTGTTCTGCTTCAGTGCCAGGTGACTTCACTTTTCAATTAATTTCAAAGAAAAATAACTTTTATGGAATAGTAACACATCTATTTGGGCCGTATATCCATTCATTTACATTCATTTCCATTTCATGTCCATTCATTTAACATGAAGAAAGAACTATCCATGATGGTTTCTTTTTCAGTGATGTTCTATATTTCTTATACACAGTCCAATTGTTTCTAGCCCTTTAAATATTTCATTTTAGAAAATATCAGAACCGCAGACTTCAGTATTTCCACAAGAAAATGCAACCTCTCTTGTTCAGTTCTCAACACAACTAAATGTGCTATCTGTAGAAATGTCTGCTTTCTTTCACTTTCCCAGCATGACAAATGACAGTAAACTACCTTAAATTCCAGACCTTGTGGCTTCAAGTCATCCATGATGAACAGAATTCTATCAAGTCTGTTTACCCTGTCAGGTTGCTTCAGGTTATATAAGAATATTCATACTGCAGCAGGGCAAGTCTCCTCCTGGAGACTTTCCAGCAGGTGCCAGTAAGATGGCAAGGGGGATGTCATGGGAAGAAGACAACAAAATGTGTATTCTGTGTTACAGCCATCCAAGTTCTGGCAACCTGCAACTCAGGATCTTCTCTACCAAAGTCAACAACTTCATTTTCCCTTCCATGAATTTTACTTGATTAAATTCTCCTAATTTTTAGTCCAATGGTTATTTTCCAGGCTGTGCTATAGCTTTTTATATACTATATCAAAGACTTTTAGAGAACACTTTGACCATTTGGTTTTTTGTCAGATTGGTACTACATGTTTTTGTAAAATCAGGTCAAGAATAAATTTGATTTTTATTTAAGAGCCCGGGAGAAAGTATCCATGTAATAACTCTTGTTTATTTCCACCAAACATACTTAATGACTTTGATTTCTATGACTTCTTCATACTCATACTGCTTCACTTTCTAGGGAGACTGATTTGTGCAGAAGCTTCCACCAAACTGCTGAAAAAATGGTTAAGACCAGAAAGATCTCCAGGCTGGATGAGAGGCATATGCAACTATAAGTTAGCTGTGAGAATTGGTGTCAAGCGCCCCTGAAGCATGGTTGCTACAGGAATCAACACTAATGGAAAATCACCAACTTCTGTAATATGACCAGTGATGCCTGTTAGTGCATACTGCCTCTAACCTTGATTTCCCCAATGCTGTTGTTGGCCTGGGCATCTTAGATCACTGCTTGATATCTTTGTTTCACTTTCTGTTGTGTGATGATGGATCTATTTTAGGAAGTGAGTAGAGCTATGGAAAGATAGCCAAAAAGGGATCATGTCAAAAAAGGACACAGACCACTTCAAGAGTTAAGAAGCTTTCCTTAGAAAAGTATCCAAGACATGGAAAGACAGAGAGGCATAGAAAAAAATTAACTTCTTTCATCTCTTCAGACATCTTTTCCCTACTCCGTGAAAAAAGCTTATTTTACTCCTGGTTCCCCACACTTTGTATTCACATATAACACAGGTAGACCAAGCAGAAGGAACACAACTAGAAAAGTCCTCTCTCCTTCTTAGCCTTGCAAAAACTTGTATGCTGAGAGTATGCAATGAGGAGTTAATGAAAGCAGCAGCAAAGCTGAAAATGTGGGGGAAGCAGGCAAGAAAGGATTGGTTCTGTTAATTATCTGCCAGGGACTGATACTTGTGCCAGCAGTATATATTTGAAAGACATAGTCAGATTCTGGGAAGGTTTTGCTTTTCCAGGGGTGTTGGATATACACTCGAAGTCAGGGAAAAGTGTGATCTGAAAGACAAGCTTTTGCCATCTGTAAGTGGTTGGAGTTTACATCACAAGCATGGAGGGAGCACTGTAGGTTCAGCTGTTGTCAGTGAAGGTGGTCAGTATAGGGAGGATGCTCTACTCCAATTAGAGGCAGGGAATGAGCAGCCCTTTACAGCTTACAGCCAGATGCTTTCAGAAACACTTTGCCTTCTTGAATACTACCTTGTTAACTCTTCTTCAGGCTAATTGGGAGACCTCTGTCAACACAGCCTTGGTCAGAAGAGGATAATGAAGTCCAGAAATGCACCTTTCTCTGGCACCGTGTTTTGGATCACAAATCATATGCTTCCACAAAATCTGTCCTGGTTCTTTCTCTTGTTAGCAGCCTTTATGATTGCTTCTTTGTTGGCAAACAAACTGCATTTTAATCCAAACTTCTCAACGTTTGGAGGAAGAGGTTTCCTCGGTGATCTATTCCTTCATCTATTTAATCTCAGAAGGCTTTTAAGCAGGACAATTCTGGAAGTTCAACTCTTAAAACTGGTATTATCTTTGATTGCATGATAGTATGTATTTATTAAGTACAATTGGATGGCAGAAAAAGCAGTTTCAGTTCAATTAGTTTAAAATAAAACAAATTAAAAAATAGGGTATATAGACAATTCATTATGTCTTTTCAGCAGGAAGCCTTCAGGGTAGACTGAAGCAAAAGTAGGGAAAGACAATGGAGATTTTTAATAGTTTACTTAAGACCTATGGATACCTACACTATAATTGAGTGCATATTGAGTTCTCTCTG